ACTTCCTCACTTGGGCTGAATGATGATCTGAAAATAAGGGGAGGAAGAGCCTTCTTTAATGAGCAAAATATCTCAACCACCATCTTAAATGAAGATACAAGTGTCAATCCCCCTTTTACTCTTACTTTCTCTTTTTTAATTAACTAAATCCAAATGAAATTAATTACCAAAAGTCAAAATCCTCTCTCCTTGAGGCGTGACACTTGGCAAATTCAAATCTTCTCCATTAGGGGCTTGGCACATGGCAAAATGTGGGCCATTTAAAGTGCAAGACTCTAGTCTTCACTTTATCGGTGCACTTTTACTCCAAGTTTAATTTTTTTTTCTATAATTACAGTACTCTGGCCTCTGTAATTATTTTCTATTAGATCCATAATTTATTCTCCTCATTTTTTTCTTCCCAAAATGCCCTCTTTAGCTCAAACTCAATTTTTCATTAATTAAATAAAAAGGAAAACTATTTTCCACTTATTATTGATTTTTCCACTTGTCCAAATAATTAGGAAAAATCTTGGATATCTGAGGGTCTCATTTTAATCCCATAATCTCTTATAATTCCTTGGGACATCATAGGAATTTTCTTGGGATTTTATTCTCCTTCCAAATATTTAGCCTAAATCACCCTTAAATTTCTTTGTAATTTTTTCAAGGGTAATTTGGTCATAAAACCAATTATATAACTTCATATAATTCTTAAGGAACATTATCCTTATTTTTTCTTAATTTTCTGAGGTTTAGAAATATTTTTTCATAATTATTTTTGACCAATTTTCCTTAAATAGTCAAATTTTCATAATTAACTTGAACAATCATAATAATTATTTTCTACAATAAATCTTCTATTTCTCCTTATCCTTTTTTACCTTTAATTATTTAGGAATATCTTTATTTCTAATTAACATATTACTGGATGTAACAGAAACAATCTCTGATCCAAAGAACCAAGCTTGGCCGAATTGCTCCCTTAATTAAAGAACTTGGACTTTCTTTCAAAAATCAATTAATACATCAACCAAGCAAGCCAATCCAAGCTCTAAATCATGGTTTCTATCCTTTCCTAATCATTCTTCAATATTTTGAAATTTTGGACAGCATGTACCTTAGGAGTTTTGTCACCAAATTTCACTTGAAACTAGCTAGAAACATAGTCAAATAAAAGCTTTAACATACCTTGATTAATCCTTGATTCTTGCTTGATAATTTTTGGCTAAATCCTGCATGTTTTTGGCTCTTTAGGATCAGTTTTTCTGCAGAAAAACCTCCCCCTCTTAGAGTGTTAAAATGTCCAAAATTGAGGAGCATGGGAGGGGTATTTTATAGAGCAAAAATTTGGCCTCCCCTAGCTCCAAGTGTCGCACAAAAATCTGAAAGGGAAAGGCCATGTAAGCTACAGAAAATTTGGAGTGTCCAAGTATCCCAAGTGTCATGATGTTTAGGATAAACCATGTGATAATTTTCTAATATTTTATTCCTTAATCATGTGGGCTTCATGGACCACAAAATTTTTGGGCTTTTTTGGCCCAAAATCATGCCTAATGGGCTGGAGAAAGAAGGAAGAAATATTACCCTTCAACTCCAAATATTTTTACCAACGGGAGTTGGTCCAAGTGGTAAGCGGCTTGGTATCGCTTAAGCAAGATCTCGAGTTCGAGCCTCAGCGTATGCCAAAATTCCTGTTAGGAGACTCACCCACTACAGCCAGGTGCACAACGCGGGTCAGATCCAGATGTAGCCGGAGCAAAGCTCCGGTGAACTGGGTGGGCAACCAAAAAAAAAACTCCAAATATTTTTTACCCGATTCCTATCTAATTTTAATAATATTTTGGACCTTTAAAAATTCATTTTTGCCCATCTAAAATCATATTTTAATATAGGAAGGTCTCCTAAATTTTTTTAGAATTTATCTCAACCTCTAACTATCTGTATTGAATTTTCTCTGAAATTGGGCTTTACCAATAAGATTTTGGTAATAAATATTCTAAAATTAATCCTTTCACCTCCAGGGCCTGGAAATAATTTTATAAACTCAAATAAATTCTCAAATAATTTTTTCATATTTTTTTCATAATTATTGAGGCCTTTGCATATTTAAAATAATTATTTCTAGCTAATTTTTCACTATTTTATCGAAAAATCCTTTATTTATAGAAATTTCTGTAATAAATTATTTTCATGCTATTTCCACCTCCAAGGCCTCAAATAGGATTCCAAACCTCCTAATTTATCTTTTACTATTTTCTGAGAATTTTCTAGAATTTTTCTCTAATTTTCCCATTTTGTCCTAGACTGATAATTTCAAAACTATCATCCTGGACAAGAGTCAGATCTCAACTCAAAAGTTACTTAACCTCTGAATCTACTTTACTACTTGACCCTTTGTCTAATTTATTATTCATACTCCTATGGTTAAAATTGGTGGGATGTGACAGAAACCTCCTTCAATGGTCGACTAGTACAGAGAGAGTACCCTTGACTTGTCGCAAGATACCTTTGTTGTTGACTGGACTGAGCACAATTCTAATCTAGTCAATAAAGAAAAGTAAGACAGGAAAAAGTTGGAAAGAGTTGAGAGCTGTATGTCCTAAACGGTATACACTCAAGCAAGCTAAATATGAAATGAGAATGTGAAAGAAAGGAGATATGCTCTTAAGGTAAATATGAGAATAACAGTGTATGCGAAAAAGACCTGATAAAAGCAGTGTTAGAGGAACTTGAAATGACATGGTATAGTGGAATACCATAAAGATAGGTATACTGTCATGGCATTATCTTGAAAGAGTGTGCCTAAATAACAAAAATAATGCTAGTAGCAACGATGAAATGCTTAAAAGCGAAGGCTATGCTCGTGTAAATGACAAAAGTATGGAACTGTAAGTTACGTAAGCATAGATTCTAAGAATGGCATAATATGATGCCAAAAGGGAGGAGAAGAACATGGATGGAATTATACAAATTGTTAAGGGCAAAATTGGAAGAAAATAAGTGAATTAATACAAAAATTATTATTTTTCACACTTGTGTAATTAGGTGGCTAGTGAGATGGCTTATCTAGAAGATGGACATTAATGTTTAGGAAGCCTAAGGGTGTTACTTGGCTAAATCATAAGGGAGTAACCATGGATAGAAGACATCTCATAAGTCACTTGGCTACAACTTGACAAAAATGACATTACTAAGGGACAAGTGGCCTTGGAATTTTCAAGTTTCCCAAGGAAAAAGCAAGGCAAACCAAGGGTAAAAATTTGCCTATAAATACCCCCCACATTCCTCACTAGTCGGCCAAGCTAGTGAACATAAAATGAGAATGTTTTGCTCGTGAATTTAAGAGAGAGAAAGAGAGAAAAGAAAGAAGAGAAAGAGCTGTTAGGATTAAGGTTTTGGGAAAAACTTGGCAATCTAGCAAGTAATGTGCATGATCCCTGGATGATAGCTGGGGACTTTAATGAGATAAAGACACCTTTGGAGCAAAAAGGAGGTGGAAGAGTAAATGAAGCATGGTGTAGAAGATTTGGTGATTGGATACAGCATCATAATCTTATAGACGTTGATACGAAGGGCCCTTTTTTCACTTGGAAAGGGCCAAAGTGGGAAGGCTTGGACAGAGTGTTTAAAAGGCTGGACAGAGTACTTTCAAATGATCAGTGGCAGTATAAGTTTGCAGATGCTGAAGTAAAAATTGTTCCTAGAATTTGTTCAGATCACCATCCTATGCTAGTCGACTTGTTTCCTGAAAACCAACCTGCAAGAGGAAGGATGTTTCGATTTGAGGCAGCATGGCAGATGCATAATCAATTTGATGATATGATGAGAAATTGTTGGAGTAGTAGAATGGAAACTCATAGAAGCTTGGAAAATTTAAAAGCTGATCTGATTCAGTGGAATAGAGATGTTTTTGGGAGGATTGAGGTGAGAAAGAAAAATTTGCTAAATCGCTTGTTTGGTGTGCAGAGAAGTCTGGATAGGAATGGAAACCCATTCCTCATTAATCTTGAGAAAGAACTAGAATGGGAATTGATGGAAACTTTGAAGCAAGAAGAGATGCTATGGTTTCAAAAATCGAGGGGGAGGTGGATTGACCAAGGGGATAGAAATACAAGGTATTACCATACCAAAACCTTGATAAGAAGAAGAAAGAATAAAATAAAAATGCTGAAAGACAGTGAAGGAAAGTGGGTAGAGGAGGAGTCACAGATTGTAAATCTGTTTCAAGACTTTTATGCTTCTTTATTCAGAGAAGAAATTGTTGACAGGGGCTGGATTGCAACTAATCAAGGTTGGGGGAGTGTCAACAGTAGTGTTTTATCCAGAATGGGCCGAAGAATTAGTAGGGAAGAGGTGAAGACTGCTTTTTTCCAAATGGGGGGACTTAAGGCTCTAGGGGAAGATGGATTTCCAGTTGTGTTTTATCATCATAATTGGCACATTATGGGGGACTCAGTGTATAAGCTACTGGCTGAACTGTGGGAGCATCCAGAAAGGGTTCAGGAAATCAATAACACGCTATTGGTGTTGATTCCCAAAGTTGAAAGACCAGAATTGGTAAGTTAATTCAGACCCATAGCTTTGTGTAATGTGTTGTACAAAGGTTTGACAAAGCTGATTGTGAATAGATTAAAACCTATCATGGATAAACTAGTTTCTCCTTTCCAAACTAGTTTTGTGCCTAAAAGAAGTACCATGATAATATAATAATTGCTAAAGAGATGGTTCACTCGATGTATAAAATGAGTGGTAAAAAGGGATTTATGGCAATAAAGATAGACCTTGAAAAGGCATATGATAGAATGTCTTGGTGTTTTGTTGAAAAGGTTTTGAATGAAATTGGATTGGATGAACATGTTATAAAGGTCATTAAGATGTGTATTAGCACTTCTACTTTGGCTCTTATGTGGAATGGTGTGAAAAGAGAGGCTTTTATACCTACAAGGGGCTTGAGACAAGGTGATCCCCTGTCACCTTACTTGTTTGTTCTAGGAATGGAGAAGTTAACACATTTGATTGTTGACAGTGTTAATTTGAAAAAGTGGAATCCAATAAGAATGGGAAGAAAGGGCACTGCTATCTCAAATCTGTTGTTTGCTGATGATGTTTTATTATTTTGTGAAGCAAATTTGGATCAGGCTACAAATGTTGTTGAGGTGCTAGAAAAGTTTGGTTATGTATCTGGCCAAAAGATCAACATAGACAAAACCAGTGTTTTCTTTTCTAAGAATACTGAGAGAAGAATGCAGAATGAGATTTGTGAGTTAACAGGCTTCAGGAAAATGGAGGATTTAGGGAGGTATTTGGGTGCCTATATTACAAAGGGGAGGAGTAATAAGGAGAAGTTTCAATTTTTAATTGATAAAATGCAGAATAAGTTGAGTGGGTGGAAAAAATAGAATCTATCGTTCGCAGGGAGACTTACTCTTGTGCAATCTGTGACAAACCAATTGACAAATTTTCATATGCAGCACTCCTTTATACCTGTAGGTGTGAAGAAACAATTGGAAAAGTTGCAGAGAGACTTTATTTGGAATAGTGATGAGGAAAGAAGAAAAATTCATGCTATTGGTTTGGATTTATTGTGTACAAGCAAGGAGAAAGGGGGGTATGGCTTAAAAGATTTGGGTGTAATGAATGATGCTCTTTTAGGTAGAGTAGGATGGAATTTAGTTGCAAAGAAGAGTAACCTATGCTCTATGGTTTTAATAGGGAAGTATAGTAGACGTATGACCCTAATTGATGAATGTAGTGTCAAAAATACAGATTCTGAGGTTTGGAAAAATGTGGCTCGTCTATGGCCCCAAGTGAATCAATTTGTGTGCTGGGAAGTGGGTAATGGTGAGAAAATCAGATTTTGGAGGGACTATTGGGTTGATCAAGGAGTTAAACTAGAAGATGAATGTACAGTCCAGGTTGACAATATAAATCTGGATTGTAGAGTTAAGGATATGGTGGATAATAATGGACAATGGGACTATGCAAAGCTGGACACGTGTGTTTCAGAAAAAGGGAGGAACATCATACGTGCTGTACCACCTCCTAATGCTGATTATGGAGATGATGTAATTAGATGGGGGTCAGCATTACAGAACAAGTACAGTGTGGCTGACATGTACAACTTACTGAAGAAGGAGGATGGTGAGGTGGATGTGTTGTGGAGGAAGATTTGGCACTGGAAGGGGCCTAGAAGAATTCAAGTGTTCCTGTGGGTGGCTAGTCACAACCGGTTGTTTACTGCAGAAAGGAGAAGCAGGCTAATGGGAGGTAATGCTTTATGTTACAAATGTAATGTGGAACCTAAAACTAGTATGCATGTTCTGCGGGATTGTACTTGTGCTAAAGAGCTATGGGGACAGTTAGGAGAGAGTAATTACAACTCAAGTTTTTACCTACTAAAGGATAAAGAGTGGTTCAGATGGTGTTTGAGCAATAAAGATGAGAGGAAGGTTGCTGAATTTGGAATTACTTGCTGGTTATTATGGAATTGGAGAAACAAAAGTTTATTTGAGAATGGTTTTGAAATGCCAAATGACAGAAGTGCTGTGGTTAGAAGATACCTAGCTGAAGTTAGAAATACTTTGTGCTGCACTGATGGGCTTGTTGGTAAGAGATATGAGAGGCTTATTCGATGGGAAGTTCCAGAGAATGGTTGGGTGAAATTAAACACGGATGGAGCTTCAAAGGGTGGGAATAGATTGGCTGGATGTGGTGGTCTGTTAAGGGGGTGCAATGGGAAATGGATCAAGGGATTCTCAAAAAAACTAGGGTCTTGCTTGACTATAAAGGCTGAAATATGGGCTGTGATATCTGGATTGCAGATGGCTTATAGGGCTGGGATCAAGCATTTGATTGTGGAATGTGACTCCCTAGCTGTTGTTAATATTCTAAATAGTATAATTGATGATTTTGATTGTAACTCTAGCTTACTAAAATTGTAAAGGCTGAACTTGATAGATTTGTGAATGTTAGGATACAGCATGTATATAGGGAAGGCAATACTGTCGCGGATTGCCTTGCTAGCTATAGTCTTATGATAGATATGGAGGAGATGATTTTTGAAAGTCCTCCCCAGGTTGTAAGAAGGTTGTTATTTGCTGATTGGGTGGGTGTTGCTCTCCCAAGATCAGTGAGGATTCAATAATATTGGGCCTTAGAGCCCCGTACTATTCACCAAAAAAAAAGGTTTTGATGATAACAAAGTGAGTAATTTGTGTTTTAGCATGTTGATCGATCAGATCAAGGTTTTATCAATAAGCTGATAGATAATAACTCTGTTTAATTAAGTAAACTCAGCAGAAACTTTGATCTATAACGTGTTAGATAATGTGTTGATCGATCATTTGATCGATCATTCTTAGTTGTATATGAAAATTTGGGACAAATTATCGATCACTTGATCGATAATTAGGATACAAATTTGATAGGTGTTTATCGATCACTTGATCGATAAACCGATTATCGATGAGAAGATAGATAAATGGTAATGCACTTTATTCATTCTATGTTTTGTTTTTTTCACCATTTATCGATCACATTATCGATCAACCATTTATCGATAATATGATCGAACATTGCCTCTTAACTTTTCATGCAGGAATTTATTTCAGTGGCTTCTCGATCACCTGATCGATAAGAAAATTATCAATCACATGATTGATAATCAACATATCTTTGTCACATCGTGGCTCTTCGATCATCGGATCGATAATCTGATTATCGATAATATTATCGATAACCACTTCACGTTTATCTTGTTTTCACATAACATGATTGATAAATCAGCTTTTGGTTTTACAAGAATAGATCTCTTTATTGATAACATTATCGATCAACCTTTTATCGATCACCTATTCGATCATCTCACATAGCCTGTGTTTTCACTAAATATACTTTTGCTTATTGTTTATCGATAAGGTTATCTATCATCCATTTATCGATAAAGTGTTCGAAAATTAGTGTTCCAAAAGTTATTTTTATAACACTCTATTTATCGATAACCTGATCGATCAACAAGTTTTCGAATACTTGTTTGATCATGAGGTGATTTCATTTCAAACCATAAGTCTCGATGTTTCTCAAAATTTATCATTCGAGCTTTTCTCAGCCTTCATAAATTTCTTGTTTCACTATTTAAAGAGTTTCAAAATCAAAAGCAACCTTGATCTTCATTGTCTATGCATCATAGTATATTGTCACCATTTCCTTTTATCGATCACCTGATTGATAAACAGTTGATCCATCACTTGATCGATAATCTTAGTTATTTGGTTCAAAAGCCTTCACTTAGAATAATCGATAAGCTGATCGATCAAGTAATAATCAAACATCACTTCGATCAAGCACAATCAGTTACTACACAGCACATCTAACAACTGATTGATTCTAATTATAAACTATGATTATTCGTTCTATCATTTGTTTGGTTCTACTTTTGATCTTATTCTACGGAGAAAAACTTATTGGATTAACATATTTTTGCAGATTACGAAGAAAATCCAACGGTACTCCAACGGTCGTCCTGAAGGGAATTGAAAAACGCGCAACGGAAAATAAATTTAAGAATTTCAATCCCTTGCCCAGATCTACCGATCGTGTTTACATCAAGTAGTAAGAAGCATTACCTTCGATGTTCAATTTCTTGGTGGCTCGGTAATTCCGCCGTTCAGGATGCCTCTGCTTGCCTCCTTTGTCGCTCGAAGTCGACAACTCTGGTCGGCTTCCTCTACCGATATCCACACGAATAGCTCTCCAGTCACGAACGACGTGCTAGCGCCTCTTTGTCCGTCTAGGGTTTTTCAAAGAATCCGTCCTCCTCTCTCTATTTTTGGCCGTCTCTTATCTGCAAGCTTTCGCCCTCTCACACACCAAAACCCTAGCTCCTAATATCAAATATATAGGATGCTATAGGTATTATGAATGATATTTAATTTCGGAATTAATCCTAGATTAATTTTGAAATTAATGCAATATCAAATATTGCCTAATCAGATAAGAGAACAATTAAATAAATACAGTTTATATTAAATTCGTCTCACAGATTTAATTCACCTATTTATTTAATTCAAAATAAAGATATGACGGAATTAATTTACATAGATCTAATTTATCCTTATAAATTAAATCTAACAATTAATATCTCTTATATTTATATAATATGTATATATATACGAATTTATATATATATACACGTCCACCCTATATTATTCATTGAATCTGGACATATCTTAGATTCAATAAATCTGGACATCATAACTCGTGTTGGGCTATTTTGTGTGCAACCCTGTAGGCCCATATGAAGTTGGTAGTGGGCCATTAACTATAATGACTCACAAGTCGTAAGCGGTCTCTAGCAAGACATCACGACTACCCAAATCATATGAGGATCGTTGAACGACGTAACCTTTCATACAACCATATCACGTCCCTTTTGTCACACGACATTTTGGTCATGGATGAGGCATGGAGAACGTCATCCTCCTATTCATGACCGTTACTTTCTTGATCCCTGAGTAGTCTGAGTATAGAAATGGAACTACCTTTCCATTATAGTATGGCCATACATT